TAATCAATTTCTTTCAAGTTTCACAAAGTTAAGCATGTTTGGATGCAGATTGGATTGTAATATTGGCATATTAGGGCTATTTCGAATTTGTACTTATATCTTGGATTGTCGCTACTCTGTTGAGAAATTGGTTGTGGTTTGAAGATATTCTTGTTTTAGGTATTCTATATTGAGGGGATTGAAGAATTTACAGGTTTCTGTCGAAATGTCAAGATTTTTGGGCTTATTTGTTTTTGCAATGGCTGGTAATAGAGATTGTTTGCTTCAATCCATTAGTGTGAGGTTGGATGGAAAAATTATTCATATTAGAGTTATGTTATGAAGAATTTTTTGAAAGGGAAAAGGATGTGGGGTTATATTCCCAGAACTTCGAGTAAACCCACAAATGAGAAAGAAGACGATTATGCAAAGTTGTTAGATATTTGGAAAATAGATAATTAAAAAATTATCACTTGGATAAACAACTCAGATACCATGTCTTTCTGTTCAAGAGCTCGAATGTTAGATTCTATTTTGCAAAGTTAGATTGTATATACAGTCCTGCCAAATGTTGCCAAGCCTGCTTCGCTTTTAGACTGTGTATACAGTCTTGTCAGATGTGGCCAAACCTGCTTTGCTGTTTCGTACTTTGCCAATTGGGTACCTATTGAGTGTTTAACAGATTTGTTTATTGATGTGATAATTTTTAAATTATCTACTTCCCAAATATTTAACAACTTTGCATAATCATCTTTTTTCTCATTTGTAGGTTTACCCGAAGTTTCAGAAATATAACCTCACATCCTTCTCTCTTTCAAAATTTTTCTAATAACATAACTTCAATACGAATAATTTTTTCCATCCAACCTCATACTAATGACTGGAGTGAATAATCTCTATTACCAACTATTGCAAAAACAATCAAGGCTAAAAATCTTGAAATTTCGACAAAATAACCCCTGTATATTCTTCAATCCCCTTAATGTAGAACACCCAAAACAAGAATATCTTCAGACCAACAATCAAGTTCTCAAAAGAGCAGCAACAATCCAAGATATAAGCACAAATTCGAAATAGCCATAATACGCCAAAATTACATTCCAATCTCTATCCAAACATGCTCAATATTTGTGAAAATTAAAAGAAATTGATTACCCAATACTAGAATAGCAAATCCATACTTGATTGAGGGCACCAATCGAAATGGAGAAGTTTGAACGGATGAGAAGCTTGAAAACCCCCAAACTTTGCCCTTGTTCTTGGAGAGATTAAACTACCTTCCACAATCAAAGCTCTGATACCATGTGAATTATCCAAAAGTAAAATCAAAGATTCAAAGAGAGATCAAAGAAGGGAGAAAATAGGGGCTACGCTTTCTCATTGCAAAAAAAGGTAAAATACAATGAATGTACAAAAGAGAGAAAATGAAATAATAGTCTTACAAAGGCAAAAATATAAAACACTAAACTACTCTTATAGTAAATATATAATAACTCTAATACATCAACTAGCAGACAAGTACAAATCGCTAGTAACAAGAAATTCAATAGAAGATTTGTGATAGATAGCATTATTCTTAAAAAAAGCCTTCAACTTTCATTGTAGTTCAGTCAAACCTTAGTGGACTTAAAATTAAAAAACAAAATAAGAGGAATACCTTTCTTGATTTTCTTCTTCGAAAACCGCCGAAATTGAAGGTTTCCATGAACTTAACCATACTCATTCCGGCTACATTTTCTTCACTACGATCAATTTTCAATCGATCTCATTAAGAAAAAAAAAAAAGATCACTTCAAATTATTGATTACAAATCAAAATTACTAATACCTCTGACTAGTATTAGTCTCATCTTGGCGTTTTGTATTGCGTGCGTTCCGCGAGGGCTTCGTACTCTAGCCGCTCGAATTGCTGGTAAGTTTGGACACCTGACGAATTGTTTTGCGTCAAATCTAGCGGAGTGACGTAGTCTTCGTCTTCTCCTTCTTCTTCGTCGTCGTCGTCGAAGTTGTCATTTTCATTTTCGTATCAAAATCTTCGTCGTTGTCGGCTACTTCGAACTCGCTCATTTCTTCCATTTTGGTGAACTACGTTGTTTTGTCTTTGTACAAATATCGTCCGAGACAAAGAAATATGTCTGGTACAGAGGCGGGGATTTCAAATTATTAAATAACGGAAAATAACAATGGCCGAGTTGTAAAATAATTATAGTCTGAGGGTTCTTTAGAATAAATGGGTTTTCGCTGTATTTTGGATTAGCCCTTACTTTAGGCTTGACAGAATTACCCTTTCTAGCTGGTTGCCCGGAGCGGGAAGTATCCCTTATTTCAGGCTTGGGAAAATTACCGATCAGCCAAGTGCCCGGAGAAACCAACATAGGAAGGCGGTGAGTCCTCGTAAAATTTATTTATTTGTTTTGACATATCAAATTTTTATTAGCATTATTATATATTTATATGGGAATATTATTAATTATTAGACAAATTTTGTAAAATGGATGATAAAAATAAAGATATAAGTTCTAAAATACATAGAAGATAGATAGATGGTCAATAATCATAGTTAACTTTAACAAAAAAAAAAAAAAAAATGTTAAAAGACATAAATATCCCTATACAAATAATAATTAAAAAAACTTAAGGATAATATAATGTTTTTACAAAACACCAAAAAATTGAAACTATCAGTTAGGGCTTTGAAGTTAAGGATCGGGTAAATCTAATATTGGTTATCCCTATTAGCAATCGAGAAGAATCGAACTTAAAATCTTTTGAATAATATACCAAAAAGCATCTCACCAAGCCATCTAAGGGTGTTTTTTCATTCCTCTTCTTTCAACCTCTAATTCCCTTTTCCTTCTCTTTCCTAAAATACAAATCCTAGCCCTTTTTTAAAAGCCCTATCAAACCAAGATCATCGAAGTTGTTTGACAGCTTTTTTAGATATTTTAAACTTGTATCTTTTTTTTCTTTTCATCTGTTTCAAAGAAGGTTCTCTCTTAATTAATAATATCTTTTCATATTGTACTATATATTATTGTTTAAGGTAGTACCTTTATTTTCTTTTAAATACATACCATGCCTTTTATTTTATTTTAGAGTAACATCTTAATTAACTATCTTAATTGTTGTAATCATCTTAAAAATTTTAAACTATTGGGTTTAAATGTAACGTTAAAAAAGTATTGGGGTCCAGAAATTTTACACTCTACAGGGATACATTTGACAAAAATGAAACGTATGGGGGTCTAACAAAAAAAGCGGCAAAATCGAGTTTTGTTTGGGGGAAGTTGCAACTTGCAATTTTACTAACGCTTCTTCGAGTTACTCAAACTCTCGCACGCTCTCCAAAGCCATCCTCTCCGGTAGTTCTTCGCCGTCGGTCATTGTTCTCCGTTCAGTACTCTTCCTCTCTCAAAAGGTTAGTGATTCTACACTGCTTAATCTCCATTCAGGTTATGTTTGTGAGTATTTTCGTTCACATGTGGATTAAAATAACTCTTGTTCATATCTTTGTTTTTTTCACATATATAATTAACACATTCTTAGAGTTGGTAAGATATTTTAGTAAATTTTCATATGATTAAAGCATAATGAAGAACAAATTGGGTTTTTGTTGTTAAATCTCACTGGCTTTTTTGGGAGAATTTAAGAAAACAAAAGAATTTTTAAGATTCATGTTACAATTTTGTTCTTATGTATGCAGCAAGAAGTGAAAACTTGGACTTAAATGAGTTTTAAGTGTGGATGTGATTGTTGCATTTGGCGTAGTTAGAGGGAATTTTTTATTTTTTTGAAACTAAAATGACACATAAAAGACATAGGAATTTTTGTTTTAGCTTCATTTCTTAAATTTTCCGAACGTTTAAATGGAGAGTTTGTTTAAATGTGTTGATAAAGAATATGTTGTGGAGTAGTGATCTTTGTGCCTTCTGTATTCTGAAAAGTTCAAATTTTCTGTGTTCAGATGTAATTTTTGATTAGCAATCTTTAGTTTTTCTTGAACTATTTAACAAACTGTTAGGATGTCTAATGGAAATTAAATCAGTCCAGTCTTGATTACATGAAAATATAATGCATAATTTGGTACTGTGATGTATTGAAATGTCTACTGTCACTCAATAGAGAAATAAGGTCTTGTATTTGTACATGTTCTACAAAATTTCCCCAAAAATTACCTGCTATGTACATATACAAATGTTTGAAACTGGTGCTTTAGTTACCTTTTGCAAGTTACTGGTAGTTAATCTATGGATGTGTATTGTTCTGTATTCTAAATTCACTTGAGCTTGTAACAACTTAGTCTGATGAGAAATCATATTGTCATTTTCCCTCCTAATTTTTAAGGGCCTTTTTTTTTTTTTCGTGTGTGTGTCCTTTTTGTGATGCAGAACACAAGCACTGATGAACGTACTTTAATTGCTGTAACCAATCCCTTTCCAGGCCCTCTTGTATTCTTGGTACATAAACCCCTTTCATCCTTAATAGTTAGCCCTCTACCTGCCTTCTCCTGATTCTACTAATAAACTTTAAGTTAATTATGATGTTTTAATCGTTTCTTCTTCCTCTGTTTACTATGTGTTACACTTTCTTTACGTAACACCCACAAATTTCTGCTTCATCTACACCTTCTCTGGTCCATAGCCATAAGTCACCAAGTTTTCCGCAAAGTTCACTAATTTGAAGTCATCTTATCACATCAATCAATCTATATCAAATTATGATATTGGTATAGAAACTGAAAATTAAGTTTTGAATTCATTTTTTAAAAAACAAAAGAATTTATCGTCTGTGTTTGTGGGTTTGTTTTGACTCGTTAGGCTGAGAGGCACATGATTTATAAAATTACATGATTGGTTGTGTTATTTCATTTCTGCCTTCACTTTCCCATTGATATATCTAAACTAACTGATAACATGAGTGGGCCTTGGGTTGTATAGATTACTTGGTTTAGTCTCAACTGCTTTACACTTTAATATACAAAAATAATTAATCCAGATGAATACCAAAAAATGACAAGAAAGTCTTTTAGCGTCGTACAAAACCATTTATTAATGAAAATCTTATACTAACATAACGTAGAAAATAAGATAATTTGATAATGTTATGTATACAAATCTTAACTTTGGATCTCAAGTGATGTGACTCCTTGTAAGTAGCATAATGGTAACAAGTTATTAGTCACATTACCTGGGATCCTAATTTTGTACATGTAGAACATTACTACTCAAATCCTAAAATTTCTTAAATCTCAAATTAGCTCAATGACGATAATGGTTTTGTGAAATATCCTTGATAAAAGCATCTAAGTTTTTATCAGAAGATCCACCGTTTGCCCTAGCTCGATGACAAATTTCTCTAACTTCTCTGCCTCTTTTCCTCAAATTTTGCACCTCAACATTCTCTTCATCCATAAACCTCTTCACCCTCTCACAAATCTCTTGTCCACTCACCAAACTTTGATCATCTCCAACAACTCTCCCCCTCCCCCTCCACCCAACTCTCCACCCCTCCACAATCAGCTCCTCATTTGTCACTTGATCATACATTATAGGAAAAGTAAGCATGGCAACTCCAGCAAAAAGCCCTTCAAGAGTAGAGTTCCACCCACAATGAGTCAAAAACCCACCAATGGAATCATGACACAACACCCCCAATTGACTACTACACCAATCCACTATCAATCCATTCATGTTTTCTCCCTTCTTAATCAACCTTGAACTCTCTCCTCTAGCAACCCACAAGAACTTAACTCCACTGATTTTCAACCCACCTAAAAGTTCATCCATTTGGGCACTTGAGACTGAGACGAAACTTCCCAAGGAGACATAGAGGACCGATCCTGTGGGTTGAGAATCTAGCCATTGGGAGATTTGTGGAGAATTGGGTGGAGAGTTCAAGGGAGGGACAGCAGGGCCAATGGGGTAGAGGGGGAAGGAGAATTTTGGTTTGAGAGTGTTGAAGACTTGGGGTTCAAGCTCATAGAGGGAAGTGAAGAGAAGGTATTGAGATTTTGGCACCCATGAATGAGCTAATAGTGAAAGTTGTGTGCCTTTTTTGGCATTTCCATAGAAGATGTTTTTGAATTCTGGTACTTGACTTGGAGAGATTCCTTCAGGGATGTTTAAGGTCTCATCTTCTTCTCCTGTCCCACGAGAGAAATATACATATGAGTTATTTATCAAAAATGATTTAACATGCATGAATCAAGTTCAAAGATAGAGATTTTAACTTAAAAACAAAGTTTTTAGTCATTGATATCTTGATCTAGGTTAATACAAACTCACCAATTTTTAAACAATTAGATTAGATTTTTATATATTCAGTTTTGATAGTCATAAATCAAGACATATGTACATTCATTATAACGTTAGTTTTGTACCAAAACATAAAATTTTAGTCAATTTTCTCGTACAAGATTCTGAAATTTTTTTTCTTTTGTGTAAATCGTTGATAGAAATATTATTGTAGATTTAAAATAAATAAATAAAAACATCTGTAAGAGAGGATGACTATATAATACATACCCAACAAATTAACCAGCAAATCTCGATCTTCAATCTGGCTGAAGTATTGCAACTTGTTTAAAAATGTTGCCGATGTTGTGCAAAGAATGGCTACAGGAATATTTCTTCTGTTACCAATACTTGTAGCCCACAAGAGATCAATATCATTTACAATATTGCTCACCGGTGGCTCAAGCTGATCAAGAAGCTGCTCAAATGGAGCCTTCATTTTGGTCTGAACAGCTTCATAAAACTCAGGAAAGTCAAGTCCTCGAAGCTGCTCAGAGGGTATAACATTTGGTATGGAAGCCAAGCGGATAGTTTCAGGCTTGCTATTAGAGCCAATGATCTCGAACCATTCTTCAGTAACCACAAAGGTTATGAGAACGTCTTGTGTTTTTGAAGCTATGAGTTTGCATAGACTCATCATGGGGTTGATGTGACCCCTACCAGGAAACGGCACGGCCACAATGTGGCAGCGTACAGTGGTGGGTAGTTGCCGGTTAGGTGTAGGATCCATGTTTGACTTTGGAGGCTTATTGTTGTACTCCAGGCCGTAATAGAAGATGTAAATATATAGATAGAACTTGCAAGCAAGTTGCTAATATGAAATTTTTTGGTCAGTAAGTATTATAGATAGTGACAAAGTGAAGTTTTAAATAATAATAATAATTATCTCATTGTTAATCGAGATGGATTTAAATATGATGCACTAATCTAAAAGATGAATATGGTCATTAAAAAATGTGATTAGTTTAACAAGTCTTGGAAGATTGTTTTAGTTTATAACACTTGGCATGCTTATAATTACCTAGGAAGTAAAATAGTGAATCTCAAGAAAAAATAAAAAAGTCTTAAATAATACATGCTATTAATTTTAAGATAAGATTCAAATATAGCTAGTTATAAGGGTCCATTGAACACACTAAAAGATTGAGATTTTTTTTTTCTTTTTTTGTGATCAGGGTGTTTGGGTCAGTTTGAGTCAGATAAGTCACAAATATGATAAGTGATTACTTGGTAGGATTCAAACACAAAGACCTTTGAGTAATATAAAGTTTTGTCATCAAACCACAAACCAAGTGGTTACTAACTCTTTTGATCAGAGTTTTCACGTGAAGGAACACATACACATGATTTATAATTAATGAAAGGAATTAAGAAAGAGAAAAAAAAAAAAAATTTGTTTAGATAAAAATATACACGTCAGACCTAAGATAAGATCCTTAAAAACTCAGTAGAATTCATACAAGAGGGGATTTGTGTCATATAAATAAAGCTCGAAAAGCAAGATATGTTGTTGAGGATATGGAAGTATTCGGTGAATATGCTGAATTATAAAACTAAGAGTTTGAATGCAAGTTGAAAAATTTTATGAATAAACAAATGACCTATTTTAATTTGTCTCATTGCTTTCTAGATCCCAATGCCAATTATACGCTATAACAATTTTATTTCACCCATTTTGCCCTCTTGATCCCAATAGAAAATTTCCCAAGTCAGACATATAATAAACAACAATAGCAAGTCTAATGTTTTTGGGTAAACTTGATAATTGTTTTTCCTATGACTCAATCATAAGACCCTTAGGTATAACTAACTCTGGTGGCTAAATGACTTGCTATCTGATCACAGGGAGATAGGGAAGTTTAATTTTAATCTACACTTGCAAGAAAAAATTAATAATGGCAAGTACAAGAAGTTAGGAATGGGGGAGAGGGAGGCTGAATTTAGAGAAGAAATGCCATGAGCTGTTAAAAAGTATGCTAAGAAAACGCAATTGTATTTCAAAATCGATGTGTTGTACAAAATTTCACGTCGAGTGAAAACGCTTTCTCTGTTCCCGGAAACATATACTAATTGAAAGGGAAAACTCATTTGATTTGCATATACCAATTCCGGGAAAGGAACGCCAAATTTCACATAGTCATGTATAGGTATTTCTTGAGCATAGAATCAGCTTAGAATTGAATTAAAAAAATGGCCTCATTATTGATCGATTTCAATATAGCTCAGAGAGTAAGATATGCTTGTTGAAGACATGGAAGCATTTGGTAAACTTTTGGACAGTGGAACAAGAGACTGAGAGAGGGGTGGGAGAGGAAACGAATTCGGAAAAAGTTGAATGAGCTGTTACTTGGAGAGTGTTCGGCCTGTTGTTTGCTTCCACGAGGTATTGTTCAAGCTCCCTTAGCGGGGAAAATCCTGGATGATCAAAAAAATAAAGAAGTTCAATAAGTTTTCATGTTTTCCATTTTTTAATGCTAGATTACTGACCTTGACAACAATCTTCCCTGGTCATAATCATTTGTGATCTTCCATGTTTGAAGGTCGTTATCTTCGGCTATACTAGCAATGTCCCAATCGCCATTCAGATCCCATGAAAATTCTTTAATGGCTCTCTTATGACCAATATGAACAAAAAGCAACTCTGGTGGACCTCTAAACCTCTGCTCTGACGTTTGTTCAGTGCCAATCCTGCAAGACGAAACACCAGATATTGATATAAGTAAGGCAAGATTATTCATAGTTCATATAACAAAATTATTTCAGTTAAAAATTGCAGAACCATTATCGGATTTTAAGTTCAAACCTGCTAAGATCCCAGATTATCAACCTTCTGTCAGCACAAACAGAAGCTAAGAGATTATCATTCTTGGGGCTCCACTCAACTTGGTTAACAACGTTCCTGTTGAGCACGTTGCCATAATAAAATTTTAAAATATTAGGCACATGCATTAAGTGATAAGTGCTTTTCCTTTTAAAACAACCAAAAAATAAAAATACAATCAAAGATATTCACTAAATGTGTGAGAATTCTTACCTGTGATCGGAAAATGTGTGTATTGCAATGTTAATATTGCGCAGATCAAATATCTTGACCATCTTGTCAGAAGAACCAGTTGCCAAGATCCGTTCGTCAAAGGGATTCCAAGATAAAGAAGTGACCTATTAACATCAATAAAAAGACTAATAGATCTAAGTTAAAATTGCAGCAATCAATCTAATTTATGTCTTTCTTATAATAAATGAAAAATGATTTCTTTTAATAAAAAGACTAATACTCATTTTTAAGGTTAATTATATGTTGCTCTAGTTGAAGCAGATAGATGATTTCAGTCTAATTTATGTCTTTCTGTGTAGAGCCTACCTCATCCCGGTGAACCACAACAGATTGGACAGGGTTGCTGTATACTGATTGCCGAAGATCCCATATTGATAGGTATTTATCACTACCAACAGAACCAAGTAAGTGTTCATTCTTCACATGCCATGCTACATCTTTTACACCACCATTATGACCCTATTTTAGCACAACCATTGTAAATGTGAAAATGAGTACAAAGACATAGACTTTCTGCATTTGAATGTTAAAAAAAATGTACCGTGAACCGCCGCGTGAACCGAAGTGCTATATTTTTAATAGGAGTTCCATTGATGTCCCACACACATATTTGAGAATCATCAGCACCACTGAGCAAACGACCCTTCTTCAACTTGCTCCACGATAATTTATCATTTGATAAACCATACACGTTAGTTCTGTGGCCAAGCAACCTCAAATCAGGACCTTCTTGTTCAGAGAGTACACTATCCGGAACAGGCTCTAATGGGTATTTTATATGATCAAATATGTGGACTTCTCCACTAGCAGTCTTGGTCGCTATATAACTTGTATTCTGAGGCATGTGACGAGCACATTTAACCACTCCTTTATGCATTATTTTCCGAAGTACTTCCACCTGCAAGGGATGACAGTAATATTCAAGTATGAATCATGAATTTAAAATATAAAGATAAAAGAAATGTTAAGAGAATAACTTCAAGAAATTTAATGTTATGTCCCAAAACTGAAGCAACAATAATTCCTTTTCCCCCTTCTTGAGGGAGTACCTTGCCACTGCGGCAGCCAATGCCACCAAGATCAGATTCATCTTCAGGAAACAGAACGTTGGCAACAATTAGATAATTGGGCTCATTCTGGGCAGCGTGGGTGCCAAGAATCAACTGGTGAACGTAACATTCTTGGTCAGCTAGCTTCAATTTACCGGGAAGCCACTCAACAGTATGACATGGCCATTCGAGAAAATGGTAGATGATCTTGTTGTACATAACTGTCCTCTTCCTCTTCCAGTACTCGAAACGTACATCTCTTTTCCTCTGTTCTTTCTCGATTGCTCTAAATTTACTAGTGAACTTTAAAGATGTAGAGAGAAAGATATGTGAACTTTTAGAGAACAATCGAAAATTGGAAGAAAGAATCGAGAAGGAATTGCAACTCTGTTTTCCTGATTTCTTGATTCTTGACTTCTGGTACGTTTCAGTTTTATATACAAAAGTTAACTGAAGTTAACGACTGGGTATACAAAAGTCAAACGGCAGCGTATGCACTAGTAACTTTAAGTGAAGGGCAGTTTCATCATTTCACGTCTTTTATATTTTGACCTTCATAGTCAACAATATTAGCAAACTTACAATCTTCACATTCTACAACATTTCACTAAACTGGACAATCCCACCATAGTGTATACTATGTTGTTCGTGCAATGCATTTTTATTACTTCTTAGAAGGGTTTTTTTTTGTGTCATTTTAGTATAATTTCTAAGTCAAAGGACCAAAATGCTAGTATTTGAAATAGGTGTTCATAACTTATTAACTGTAACCACCGGAATTGAATTGAATTCTTTAGACAGTAGATAATGAGTACTGATGGAAGAGAATTGCAAGAACAAGAAAATGAGAGTGTGGTGAGATTTGAGAGGGAGAATGAATTTTGAGAAGAAGTTGAATGAGCAGGTGTTGGTTGAAAATGGAGAGTACTCTCTGCAATCTGCCAAATTTGAATCATGCTATCAGCAGCCACACTGGCAATAACCCAATCTTTATTCGGATTCCATGAAAGTACTGAAACAGAGCTCGTGTGACCATCATGAGGGTCGTCTTTAATCTGGTTTTTGGACATCACCAACCAAATATTGATACAAGGCAAGACTGTTTCTTAAATGGCTCATTTAAGAAGAATGGAATTATTTCACTTGAAAAGAAGTCCGAACTCAAACCCCCTACAGTCCCACAGCATTAACCTTGTGTCATTAGAACTAGAAACAAAGATAGTCTCATTCCTCCATGTAACTTGGTTACAAAAATCCCTGTTGAGTTCATGCATTAAGCAATAAGATATTTTCTTTTTTCAAGGAATCAAATTTATGCAGTCATGCACATCTACAAAGCTAATAAGTTCAATATTGATTGAAAAAAAAAATGTACCTCAAATATATTCATGGCCTGAAGTTTCTTATTGTTAGAAGGTACATTGATGTCCCACACACATAATTCAGAATCTTTAGAGCTACTGAGAAAATGAACCTCCTTGACCTTGCTCCATGATAAACCAAATCCTCCCACATGCTGTCACCAATCATCAGCTTCAAACAGGAATACATGCACCATCCTCAGGAGGCTCGATGGGCGCTTGCGATAATAAAAAATGTGGACTTGTCCACTGAGAGTCCTGGTTGCTAGTTTACTTTAGAGTTTTGAGACGTGACGAGCACGGTTAACCTCTCCTGAATGTTGTATTCGCTGAATTATTTCCACCTGCAAGGGAAGACAGTAACAGTCAAAATATCAGGTTATGAATCATGATGAGCCCATGTTTACTTGCTTGAATTGTAGTGAAACAGAAAGAGAAATGGAAATAGATATATATTCGAATAATGAATCGAGAATAGAATACATTATGATTTCATTGTTAAATTATAAGATGAAATATTAAGGGAATGGAATCAAATGTCTGGTATGTGGACAAAAATACGCTCATCATTGAAACATTCCACATAAGTTAAAAATTATGATTATATTTTTAAATAAAAAACATAATTATGTAAAGAATAATAAAATAATTTAACACTATTTTTTAATATAGATATATATATATATTTTTTACTTTGACAATAGTTATTCTAACTAAAAAATCAAAATTTAATGACAGGTCAACATTGGTCAATGGTGGTCAACACTGGCCAATGTTGTTCAATAGTTGATCAACACCGGCCAACAACCGATCAACAATGGTCAACGGTTTGTCAACACTGGCCAACAAACGATCTATAGTTGTCAATGGCTTGTCAACACCGATCAACATGTTCAATAGCAGATCAACATTGGTCAACAATAGTCACCCAAAGGTCAACTTTAATCAGTTGTTCAATTACTGTCAACATTTACAAAATTCTATTTTAATAATCACTAAATTTTAAAATAATAAATAATGAAATAAAAATCTTTAAAAGAAAAGATAGAATATTTAAATTCAAAATAGGGTCCAAGTGTTAGTGTATGCCCTAGGAACCAATCGTGTCGTCGGTTCCAAGGCATTAAGTTTTGTATATATATGTGAATGTATATAGTTTGTATATACATTTTATCTTATCAATAGAAGAAAGTGTTCTTATTTCACATGTGGTTTATTGCTTCATTTATATATATGTATTACATGTGAAATGTCCGGATGATACAAATCTTTAGAAGATCAAAATCATCAAAGTATTCCCTACATAGGTAATATTAATTGGGCAATAATATTACATAGTAGGCATGCTGAATACCTCCGTAGAATATCATGTGATGGTATTGGTGTGGGTGATTATAAAAGTTATATCACTAGGGCATTAGCATGGATACGTGGTTAGTGAACTGTTTATTGAATATGGCCAATTATGATGAATCACATGGACATTTAAAATGTAGTCAATGATTTATCATAAGATCATACTAGGGTATTTTTAATCCTTAGACCTGAGATATCACGGTTGGATTCTGCATAAACGCATATGGTTCATATGGTGTATAAACATGAGGCTAATCATGCCATGTGTTAATAAGCCGATTTGGCCATGTGTTGTTTATGTGTGAGGACAAGTGATAGTCAAGATGGGATCCGTTGACTTGGTATAGATTGATATCAAGTTCCTAGACAAATGTCAAGATACATTGGAAAAGGGAAATCTCCGGCCGGGGTATATAAAATGTTACATGAAAGGTTGTTTCATGGTGACACGTTCCATATGTATTGAATTAAAATTAAGATAAGGATTTTGACATACCATGAATCCATTCTTAATTGGGATTAGACAACGGAAGGATTTGATTATACAACATGTATGATTGTAAAAGGTTCGTTGGAGTATATCTTCATTGTGACTTAGGGGTTATGGAGCATTGCTAGATGCCTACCATAATCAGTGGGAGTTTTGTTCATAAAGAGTTATGACAAAACATATCGAAATAGTCTGTGATATTGGGCCCACAGCTAGGCCACAGTGAACCTAAGAGGTCACACATAAAAACTAAGGAGAATGAAGAAATAGCCAAAGAGAGTTGATTATACAAGGTTGGCTAGCACCTACCAAAGGTAATAAAGTTATTTATATTAATCATTTTCTTTATATGAAATTGGATTTTACAAGGGGTTGTAATTGTAAACAATTTAAGGGTTAAATTGTTATGTAAACAATTTAAGAGTTAAATTGTTAATTGTGATTAAATGTTAATCCAATGTTATAATTTAAAGAAGTTTAACAACTTCATAACAATTATGGAATTGTTTAAGGAAGTCCAAAACAATTATTGAATTGTTTACAAGGATTCCTATATAAAGAAAATGATATATGAATTTTGGTGTAGAGAAAAATCTCTAAGAACCCTAAATTTTCCTCTTGGTCAAATCTCTTCTTCCCTTGGTGTGGATACTCTTTTGCTTAGTTTCTCTTGAAATTAAGAGTCTCCAAGGTTGCTAAGGACTTAAGGTAACATGTTCTACCTTACTTATTTCAATTTGATTGAATTTTTTTTTTAAACTATGACTATACTTGTTATAGCATGATATGCTTGATTCTTCATGCATCCATCTTTCACCAAGAAGTAAATTGATTGACTCTCTAACTCAAGAATTAAGATTCCTTACAAAATTTTGAGGATTCCTTCACCCATGTTTTTATAGAAATGATTATGCAAGAGATTTCAGTACTCTACTCAATTCCAATAAGTAAACAAGGGAATTAGAAATCCTAATTTCATTCCCTTGTCAATTTTTATAAGTAAACATGGCCTGAGTTCAAACTTGAATCTATAAAAAAATAAATCTGTTAATTAATGGTTAGAGACATTAGTGTACTTTTTAAATAACAATAAACCCTTCAAGAACATTTTATCCTTCAGTTATGTCTTAGGACTACTGGAGCAACAAATCTAATATTAAAAGATGAATTGAAGGGGGTGTTTGTCTGAGCTTATGAAAATTAGCTTATAAGCAACAATTGCTTATAAGCTAATTTTAGCTTATAAGCATTTGAAATTTTAAGCAATTACGTGTTTGGTTAAAATACTTATAAGTGACTGATAAGTAGTTGACGTGTTTGGTAAAATATGGCTTATAAGTATATTTTATTATAAAATGACTAAAAAAGGTACTATATTAAACAAGGGTATACTAAGGAATTTTAAAATTAAACAAGGATAATATGGTAATATACTTGGTCAAACTAACTTATAAGCAGAGTGCTTATAAGCCAAAAAAAAAAGTACCTCCCCCCCAACTTATTTTTTTTTGCTTATAAGCTCAACTTATAAGCTAAAAAATATTATAAACAAACAGGTCAGTTTAATTTTAGAGCTTATAAGCTAATTTGACCAACTTATAAGCTTAGACAAACACCCCCTAAGTATCTTACCAGGATCCGAACTTATATAAGGATTGATTTGATCATTCTCAGCTTCATTATTAGGATTCAACAACTGGGCAAGCATGAGATAATTAGGCTCATTTGGGTGCGGCTCTCTACACTGAGTAGTCTATGTCTGGTAGCTCAGATTTTCCAAGCAACCAGTCAACAGTTAGAGATGACCATTTGAGCAATGTTTTAAAAACAGAACCACTCCTTGACTTGGTTAAGGGGCCAATTCCCGAGTTGACTAGTTTGATCAGTCCAACCAGTTGGTCTGACCAATGTGTGTAGCAAACACATTCCTGAAAACTTCACCTAGTCCCCACAATTTGAAACCTAGCAAACAAACCCCTAAAAATTACGCATCAGTCCCCGTAGGTTTGAAGTAAAGCAAACACACACCCTACAACATCTACTTTTTTTCTTTCTTCGTCACTTTCTTCCATCTCTTCCCCTCTCTCTTTTATAACTTTCTTCTTTCTTCTTCCTTCCTCTTTCTCTTCATCTCCTCTTCCCTTTCTTTTCCTTCCTTGTTCTCTTTGTCCCCTCTTCGTTTGGCAAGATTGCAATGTTGACCTTTTTTCCCCTTCTTCTGGTTGTTTTCTCACCAAAATCACCCCGTCACCACCACTAGAACCCCTACCCTCTCCTTTTCAAAACTATACCCCTTATCCCTTCTCATCACTCGCTGATCGTTGACCAAGAAAATCATGTCGAGTGATTGTCCTTTGCTAGTTTTCAGGCATTTTGAGTGATGACAACCTCAACCATCACCACTCTTAGACTCACCAGCCACTCCTCTACAAAACCCCCCAAAGTTCTCAAGCCATTCCACTTATTGATTGTCAGTAATCACAAGCTAGGGTTTCACCGTTTGTTGGCCAAATTCCGACGATTTTGGGGACCAAGCCTCAATCTGACACCACCTCATGACTCATTGTGGTCTACCTCGATTCCTATTTGCCCGTCAAACACTGACCGAGAGTCACTTTTAACAGCCATGATTTTAATTATTTTGGTGTGGGATTGATCGGATTTTCAGCTGATTTCTTATTGGTTTTGGCTTCTTGGTTGCCTTGTGCTTGTTTTGATTGTGTGTTGTTGTGTTTTCCTAGTCGACAGCACCTCCCCACCGACTGAAACTTTGGCCTTAGAAGAATTTGGGAATTTGAGTTAACCGGTTTTGGTAGAAGAACGATTGGAACGGTGGTTCGCTATAGTAACACCGTCCAATTGCAGGTCAGAATAGGTTAATTACAATTCCGGTTTTCAACCTTAATCGGCCTGACTTAGCCATCAGTTCACGATTCGACCGATTAAATAAGTCGGGATGGGCTGGGTTTTAAAACACTACATTTGAGTATATGTACATAATTGGAATGCACTCATTCAAAGAGTAATTGAATTTGGTATTGAGTAAAATAGTTGTGTGGCACTTAAGGAATTAGGGTGGTCCATGAGGCAGGAAAAGCGAATCTCGTTTTGTAGTAGAAAGTCCTTAAGCCTTTCTCTGTCATCGTATTTCACTGAGAGAATATAAGGCCGTGAGGTGGGCTTGTGTATTACCTGGTATTATCAATTAAAAAAGTATGTTCAGAAAGCGAATTTGTATTTCAAAATCGATGTGTTTTGCAAATTTTCACGTCGAGCGAAAACGCTTTCTCTGTTTTTGGAACTCATTTTCCCAAAAACATATACCAATTGAAAGGGAAAACTCATCTGATTTTGCATATACCAATCCCGCAAAAGGAACACCAAATTTCACATGGTCATGTATAGGTTTTTCTTGAGCATAGAATCAGCTTAAAATTGAATTTAAAAATGGCGTCATTGTTGAAAAGGAGGAAATTATATTTGTTTCTAATTATTGATCGATTTCGATATAGCATAGAGAGGAATATATGCTTGTTGAAGACATGGAAGCATTTGGTAAAATTTTGGACAGTGGAACAAGAGAATGAGAGAGGGGTGGGAGAGAAAACGAATTCGAAAAAAAGTTGAATGAGCTGTTACTTCGAGAGTGTTTGGAAATTGTATTTCAGAATCGATATGACCTTGACAACAATCTTCCCTGGTCATAATCATTTGTGATCTTCCATGTTTGAAGGTCGTTATCTTCGGCTACACTAGCAATGTCCCAATCGCCATTCGGATCCCATGAAAATTCTTTAATGGCGCTCTTATGACCAATATGAACAAAGAGCAACTCTGGTGGACCTTTAAAAATCTGGTCGAATTTTTGTTTAGTACCAATCCTGCAACACGGAACACCAGATATTTGACATAAGTAAGGCAAGATTGTTCATAGTTCATATAACAAAATTATTTCAGTTAAAAATTGCAGAACCATTGTGGGATTTTAAGTTCAAACCTTCTAAGATCCCAGATTATCAACCTTCTGTCATTACAAACAGAAGCTAAGAGATTATAATTCTTGGGGCTCCACTCAACTTGGTTAACAACGTTCCTGTTGAGCACGTTGCCATAATAAAAGTTTCAAATATTAGGCACATGCATTAAGCGATAAGAATACAATCGAAGATATTCACCTAATGTGTAAGAATTCTTACCTGTGATCGGTAAATGTGTATCTTGCCTTATTAACATTGCGCAGATCATATAAGTTGACCATCTTATCAGCAGAACCAGTCGCCAAAGTTCGTTCGTCAAAGGGATTGAAAGATAAAGAAGTGACCTATTAACATCAGATTACACAAGTGATATGATCCTTTCAGCAAACACCAGCAAAGAAGATGTATCAATTGACATTGAATGGATCAACAAAAAGACTGATACACCCAAGTTAAAATTGTAGCAATCAATCTAATTTATGTCTTTCTTATAATACATGGAAAACAAGGGTTAATTACATTTTGCTCTAGTTGAAGTAGATAGATGATTTCATTCTAATTTATGTCATTTTGTGTAGATGCCTACCTCATCCTGGTGAGCCACAACAGATTGGACAGGGCTGCCGGGTTGCCGAAGATCCCATATTGATAGGCATTTATCACTACCAACAGACCCAAATAAGTGCTCATTCTTCATATGCCATGCTACATCTTGTACAGCACCATTATGACCCTATTTTAGCAAAACCATTGTAAATGTAAAAATGAGTACAAAGCCATGGACTTTCTGCATTTGAATGTGCGAAGCCAAAAACAAAAAAAAATGTACCGTAAACCTCCGCGTGGACCGAAGTGCCACATTGTTAGGAGTTGCATTGATGTCCCACACAAATATTTGAGAATCATCAGCACCACTGAGCAAATAACCCTTCTTCAACTTGCTCCATGATAATTTATCATGTGAAAAACCATACCCGTTAGTTCTGTGGCCAAGCAACCTCAATTCTGGACCTTCTTGTTCAGTGAGTACACTATCCGGAGCAGGCTCTAATGGGTATTTTACATGATCAAATATGTGGACTTCTCCACTAACAGTCTTGGTCGCTATATAACTTGTATTCTGAGGCATGTGACGAGCACATTTAACCACTCCTTTATGCAGTATTTTCCGAAGTACTTCCACCTGCAAGGGATGACAGTAATATTCAAGTATGAATCATGAATTTAAAATATAAAGATAAAAGAAATGTTAAGAGAATAACTTCAAGAAATTTAATGTTATGTCCCAAAACTGAAGCAACAATAATTCCTTTTCCCCCTTCTTGAGGGAGTACCTTGCCACTGCGGCAGCCAATGCCACCAAGATCAGATTCATCTTCAGGAAACAGAACGTCGGCAACAATTAGAAAATTGGGCTCATTCCGGGTAGCGTGGGTGCCAAGAATCAACTGGTGAACGTAACATTCTCGGTCAGATAGCTTCCATTTACCAGGAAGCCACTCAACAGTATGACATGGCCATTCGAGAAAATGGTTGATGATCTTATTGTGCATAAATGTCCTGTTCCTCTTCCAGTACTCGAAGTGTAGATCTCTTATCCTCTGTTCTTTCTCCATTGCTCTAAATTTACTAGTAACTTTAAAGATGTAGAGAGAAAGATATGTGAACTTTTAGAGAACAATCGAAAATTGGAAGAAAGAATCGAGGAGGAATTGCAACTCTGTTCTCTTGATTTCTTGATTCTTGACTGAGAAAAAGAAGTTAACCGAAGTCCGAAGTCAACTACTTGATATACAAAAGTAAAACGGCGGCGTATCCAGGAGCAACTTTAAGTAAAGGGCAGTTTCATCATTTCAGTACTTTTATTCTTTGACTTTCATGGTCAACCATATTAGAAAAATTTCAATCTTCACATACTACACCACAATCCACCACAGCAAATCTAATTTAGCTACCTATATAATTTTGTACGTATTTGCAAATAATTAATGCATGTGAAATATTGTTATATACAACTATACAAGGGATTACTCAGTGGGGTCCCTGACTCCACTGAAATTCTAAAATTATTAAAAATAGGTATATATTTTATGGTAATTCACAATTTTGATCCCACTAAAATTACCCATAATTTATTGACCCTACTAAGATATTTTAATATTTTATTGATCTTAGAATTCGAAAATTCTCATTTTTTTTCACGTTTTCTCTCTTCCTCAGTTCCTCTCCTCTTCTCTGGAACTTTCTTATTCCTTTGGTGCTCTTGCTAAAAAGTCAGTTCAAACAAAGAAGAATATAGTGTATCACTTGGCTTATTTACTTGTGAAATTAGCATTGATTTGGTCTGTTGCAACTGTAAGTGTTGAAATAACATTTTTCGTGATGAAGTGAAGGGCAGCGTATCCAGTAGCAACTTTAAGTGAAGGGCAGTTTTGTCATTTCACTTGTTTTAATCTTTGACTTTCATAGTCAACAATATTAGAAAAATTACAATCTTCACATACTAGTACACTGCAATCCACATTTTCAAAAGTTTCTTGTTTTTAATCATACATCATAATTCACCTTTTAAAACGTCTAACTCAACATTTCACTAAACTGGACAATCCCACCACAACAAAGATTGTCTTGATGACATTAACATCCCCCTAGGGGTCCTACTGTTGTGTATTGTCATTACTTCGATCACTGTGACCTTGACGATTATCGACAAATTCTCGCAAATGGCCCCTTCCAATAAGGTCCTCAATTGCATCTTTGAGGGCACGACACTCATTAGTGTTGTGTCTAATGTCCCAGTGATAGTGGCAGTACTTCTTGGAGTCATGTTTATTTTGATTCTCTTTCAAGGCCACCAATTTTGGGAGCAATCCTGCATCATTGGAGATCGAAAAACTCGTTCAATGGAAGCGGCCGCAGGAGTGTAGTTGTTGTACCAAGGAAATGGTGGTTTTCCTAGATTCAACTCGCTACTGTTTTAGCATTCTTTTTCTGTCTTCGTTACACCTTCTACCTGTCTCTCTTCTTTTCACCCTACCTGTCCTTAGTTTGAACATGAACATTGATCAAGGCCTTGGGGTCATTTTGCCTTAGGGCAGCTACATAATTTTCTATTTGGAAGTATTTCTCACGCATTTTGTAAAATAGAGTGAGGGACACATGGTCCTCTACCTGAAGCTCTTCCCACAAGTGGTCTGTAGGCAGAATCCGGCAATGATAAGTGTACGAATTGATTATTTTGGAGCATTGGCTACCCCTATTCAACTTAGAATTAAACCTTTTCAAATAGGACTTCAAAGTTTCATCTCCCTCCTAGCAGATATTGTTGAGATAACTCAAGGGCATTAAGGATTTTTTGTTCGCCTTGAAATGCCTCAGGAAATGCAAACTCAATTGTTTCCATGAGGAAATGGATCCAGACTGAAGAGATCTGAGCCATCTCTTCACTCCTGCGGTGAGAGTAATAGCCAGATAGCGCCAGTAATTTGGCCAAATCTAAGACCTATTGTAGCTCAATCAGGTTGCTAAAGAATTCTAAGTGATCTAAGGGGTCATTATTGCCATCAAAACCTTCAAATTGGGCATTTTGAATCTTGGCGGTAAAGGTGCACGGAGAATCATGGTAGAGTATGAAGATCCCCCGTGCCCGATTTCATATTCATCTTACTGGGGCCTGAGTTCGTCTAGGGCTCTTTGCAATGCATATCTAGTTGTTCTCCTGTAGGATGGCTTCTTTTTACGAACTTTGTATTGGCTCTTCAATTGTTTCTTACCTCGTTTAGGCTGACATGAAGGTCTTCACGTAGAGCTAGCCACCCCCTTTTCCCATTCTTTCAAACACGCGTGTTCACAGGTTACTACTTAAGAGAAATGAGTTATCTATACAAGGGGAGTTTGCCCTTTCTTGGAGTGGGTCACAACTGGCACGTAAGTTGTGGGCACTTTCTTGATGTGAGTTATCATCAATACGTCATCCTTGAGCATCTTCATGACGTGAGTTATATTCCACACATCGCTTATCGACATCACGAGCAAGCTCTTGGCACGAGTTATTGCCATCGTGCATAGGAGAATTAGGAATCCCATGCCTGGAGGCATCCTACTCCTATCTTTATTAGATGAGGCATTCACTTGTCGCATCTAAACTATGCGAGGATTTCATAGTACGTGGCGGCCAACATTGCTAAGTCCCCCATGTCGTCCTCTAGACAACATCCTACTTGTTGAGGATCGAGCCTTTGGTATATCATTGGGCATTGTCCAAGCATTGTACCAATAGTTGGAGTGTGGTAATAAGCGTTCCAAGGATGCTCATTATTTGTGGATCCGCTTGTGGAGTGGCTAGTTCATTCTCCTATCTAGATGGATGGTGTTCTTCAGAAATAGTCCTCAGGTGGCTCGTAGAAGCCTCCCTAGTCTAGTTGGCAACAACTTTGTTTCTTGAATTGGATTTGGTGGCACGAGCCATGATCGACATTTCAAGACTCAAAAAATGGAATAGAGTCTCTTGATGATAAAACCTGTGCAAGAGTTTGTAGTAAACCGGTATTTTGATGTTGAATTAATATGAAAATAAAGAACAAGGGATTTCCGTGGTTCAAATGCGAGGTGCAAATTCTATGTCTACTATTGTTTTATTAATTTTCTTCTATATTCATTGCGTAGAAACAAGATTTGCTCTCAATATGAATGAGGCGGTTTTGAAAGGGCTTCCAAAGGATCCCCCAATTAGGGTGAAAGATTAGTTTATATATTGTTATAATGGTAGATTTACAAATAAAGTAACCCTCACATAGAGTGACACGCGACCTAAATGATCAAACAACCTTAGGACACATGGCGTGAATCATGTTGCATGGATTTACTACATAACAATTTATAACACTTGGCTTGCTTTTAATTACCTAGGAAGTATTTTTGTGAATCTCAAGAAAAATAATACCTAAAAAATATTTAAAAATACATGCTATTAATTATAAGATAAGATTCAAATCTAGCTAGTTGGAACTAAGTTGAGGAATGAAGGATGAGAGACAATAAATTCAATTAAGGACTAAGATTAGAGGTGGAACAAATGGGCTGGGTTATGCGAGTCAACCATAACCCAGCCCGCATTTAAGAGGGTTCAACCCGAACCGCCAATAAGGTGGGCCGGGTTGAACCCAACCTGCCAGCAACCCCCGGGCGGGCTGGGTTGAGAAATGGCAACCCGGCGACTCGCGGGTTGTTGTTTTGTCCTTTCTAGAGAAAGGACCGCCAACCTGCCGAGTTGACCTGCGGGTTAGCTGTTGGCAACCCGACGGGTTGGCTATTGCACCAACGGCCAACCCATTGGGTTGACTCGCGAGTTGGCCGAAAAACAAATAAAAAAAAAAGATTTTTTTTTTGTTTTTCCAATTACCCTTTTACCCTTGAAATATAGCCGTTTTATAGCTGTTGGAGAGGTCGTTTTCGTCATTTTCTTTTCCCATTTTTTTCTATAATTTCTCCCTAAAAATTCTCTCATTTTCTCTAATCTCTAATCTCTCAATTATTCATTTATTCTCTTAATCTCTTTGTTATCAATTTGCTCTTATTTTAATTTTTATTAGTTTTTGCAATTTTCAATTCATATTTCCAATTTTCCAATTTCCATATTCCAATTCTCTTTCTTTAATTTTTTATTTCTTCTACTTCGATTTTTTTTTTTTCAACTACAATGGATATATATTTCTCTTCTATCAATATCAATGATGAAGAAAACTACTATCCTAGTCCTAGTCTCGCTAATTTTACTAACATAAATACAGGAGATTCAAATAGTCCCGCAGCTTTCCCAGTCTCAGAATCTGATACACCTCAAAATATGCCCCTGATTCCTCCCCATACAGCTCTCGGTGGTACTAGAAGTCGTCCTCGTCCAACTTCATCTCAAGCTGAAGCGGGTTCATCAACTGCTGTCGAAAGTGACGACAGACACACATCAGACGTTTGGACGCATTTCGATAAGTTTTACGAGGTAGAAAATGGAGTTCAAGTGAAGAAAGCAAGATGCAAGTATTGTGGAAATGTTTATAAAGCTGATTCAGGTAATGGTGTTAGTACTTTAAAAAGACATGCTAATAAACATATTGATCAACATGGAAATAGAGAAACCAATCAAACTCAAATAACTAATATGGGTACTACTTGGCATTATAATTCTGATGGATATAAGGAACAATTAGCTTTATATATTGCTGCAACTGATCAACCTATTAATATGGTTGAAGATAAATACTTTGAAAGATTTATTAAAAATTCATTTTTTTTCAAGATTTAAAAGTTATTCTAATACTGCAACTAGAAATGATTTAATAAAATTGTTTAAGAAAATGAAATTAGAATTAAAAAATAAAATACATACTTGTCATGTTAGTGTGACTCTAACTGCCAATATTTAGAGTGGTAGAGCTAAATAAGATTATATTTGTGTGACTAGTCATTATTTTGATAATGAATGTAAATTAAATAAATCTTTATTAGGATTTAGATTAATGGATATTAATCACAGTGGTCAACAAATTCATAATAAAATTGTTGAAGTTTTAAAAGATTATGATATTGTTAGTAAAGTGATAAGTTTAACTTTAGATAA